TGCATGGTAACTTACCATTGTGCAGGATTATGCCCCTGCTGCCCATGATAACCTTGCTCTGCGGTGTTTACAGAGCTGGAAGATACTCCAGATATGAGGAGGTGAGCTGTACTGGGCCTGCGTGTGGGCTACATGCAGTTCAGTGGTGGCTCTTCAGCTATTGTGCACATTGAGTTCCTGGAAATCATTTCAACCAACAATTAATGGAGTCAGTACTGCCTGGTCTGCTGCTACCAGTGATACCCATTTTTGGCAGCTGCAAGGAACTAAAACATTAAGGCACTCAAATTACCCTTGAGATGGAGTCCACCATATGTCTGGGGAAGCTTGCACCCTTTGCTACATGAAACACATGGATAGACTTCAGTGTTAAGGTCTGTCACTTCTCAAAATGTGCAATCCTTTACAGCCTTCATTTGAATTGAATATGCTGTCATTTTTTGTATTTGTCCATGTAGGAAAGCCACATGTGTATCTTGTTAAGTTTAGTAGCAAGCAGCATGGCGCGAGCTGTTCTCACTTGTTTAAAACTGTACCTCACAAACAAATAATTTTTGGCCTTTCTGAAACAGAGTGCTCAGTAAGTGCAACATACAGCATGTGCCAAATCTGGATTTATTCCAGAAATAGTGCCTGAGTTATCACATGATGGAAAAACATTTGAACTCCTTATTTCATGCCCCAAAACAAAACAAGGAAAACATTGTCATACTTAAATAATCAGAAGCAGCTGGGAAATTGTCCTCAGATTCTTTCATAAATTTTACCTCTGGGCTGAGAAGCTATGTCATCCTGTAAGGCAATTGTTTTTGAAAGTTATGAGCCACTAAGTGGGAGGACTTGACTTATAGCTGTAAACTCTGTGCACAAGGACCTCCCACTGACATATATGGGAGCTGTATGCACAAAGCCAGCAGCACACAGCCACTGAAATAAAGGCATCTTCTCATTCATAAATTACTTGGGCTGCACAAGAGAATTTCAGGGTCAGTGGAAGCTGGATTTAGAGGTGGGGGAAAAAAGGCTCCTTCACACAGGCAAACAGGAAAGCTTACTCAGAAATTCAAAACTTCACTGAAGAGCAGGCTCCTTTCAGTCAGCTTTGAAGGCACAATAACCATCTTGACAATCCTGGTGTTTTTAAGAAACACCATTGCAGTCCCCAGGAGGACTACAAATATTTCAAAACATGCCTATGGATCAGCCTGTCTAACCTCTAACAGCTTGAAGTTGTTCTGGATGTTAATTGCTTGTTAATTCCTTAGAGAAATTACAGAGTGCACAGATTATCTGCTAACGATACCAGGGTATCTATTTTGTTGTTGGTACGAAGGAATTTTCAATTTTTTTTAGAATCAAAACAAAAAATTGAGATGAGACCATTTTCCAGACACTACATATCCAAATCTCTTTTGATAAAGAAGAAAATTGTATTTTGTAGGACAGAAGAAACAAAGAAGGGTTAATGTACAACGCTTGGATGTTTTTTCAGGAAGACAGCCAATATAACATAGAGAAAACAGTGATCCAGCATAACTACACTGAAAGTGAAAAATAAATTCACTAATTGTTTATAAACTCTCCATCAAGAATAAAGGGAAAAAGCAACAGTGGTTTTATGGTTTGTCCTTTGATATTCTGAAGAACTGCAGAAGTTGAGGAGCAAAAGCAAGCGTTGCAGACCTTTGAGGTAGGGACTATGTGCTCTTTCCTCATCCACCTCAAGTACAGATGCATTTTTTTTTTAACTTTCTTTATAATTGTTTGCCTTGGTTATTCTAAAATGTGGGCTACTTGCCTTACTGTGCAGCACCACAAAACACTTTTGATCATGACAGTCTATATAACTTTGTATATTACACGTGTTGTTTGCTCAATGTAATAAAACAACAGCATAAAACAAGCAGCTACAGCATTTATTACATTCTTTGTGTGATTAAAGTGAAACAGCTTTTGGCCTTGTGCCATAACACAACTGGAAAGGGTTAGAAAGAGCTGCCCCAAGTGCACGGACTGTCATCATACCACAATGGTTGATGATCAAGTCACATGGTTTGTTTTTTATTTTTAGGTCATAAATAAGACATTTCTATTTACTTTAGGGTGGAAAGATATACTTAATTTTCTCCCTAATACAAACAGATCTGTTCAGCTCCTGAACTATCTGCCAAATTTGTTTGTTTATTTGTTGCTGCTTGTTCACCTTCCATAAGCAAGTGTGGGGCACATTTGAAACCAAAGGAGCAAGCAATGGAAAGCGGAAGAGTGCTCTGCTATTTTACATCAGCAGTGTTGAAAAGTGTCACAGAAACTTGATGATTACTTTGCAGTTACTACATCTTACTCCTTTATTCTTTCATACTGCAAGAGCATTATCCAGACAAGCAAATAAGCTCCGAAGTGCATACTCTTAGCATCATTGTTCAAAGAATGGCTATAGGAAATCTCTCTCTCCTACTTTGTTAATTGACAACGTCAATATGCAACTAGTAACACATTCTGATTTAGCATTATTAAAATACAGAAGATAATACATTTAATATTTTACTTTTTTTTTCATACTGGTTCACTACCAGTATGTGATATAGTAGGTAGCTTGAAAAGTGGACATATATGATCCTACACATGAACAGGACAGCTTTCTTAGAAAGTGTTTTCACAACAAAATAGTTGTTGCTTGGAAAGCTAAAAACCAAGCTAGCTAAAGTATTTTTAAATTGACATCCACAAACTTCTCGATTCTGTTTAATAAACTCTTGTTGCCCTCTAGCGTTCACATGTTGTTTCTAAATTCCCCTGCAGAACCCAGACCCAGACAGGTAACGCAACTCATTTGCTCTTAAGGATGGCAAATAAAAAGGTAAGCTTTTCAGTACACTTGCCTAGTATCTGCCCTTCTTTGCTCCAGCACAAAAAAAAAAAAGAAGGATTAATATAAGAAAATTTAAATTTGTTCCTATAGAAGAAGGTATGTTCCTATAGTAGAAACAATTGATAAGGATTTAGGTGTTGTTCCCAGCACCTCTCCTGTAATGAGCTGCTCTGCTGGCACAGGCAGTTTTTCTTTATAAAGAAAAACAGTGAACCTAAAATCTGTGCCTACAGTATTACAGCCCACAATAGGACCTAATACTTACCATTTTATGAACTCATTTCCCCCAAATGTTTCCCCCTCTCCTCACATTCCCTGACTAGAGACCCATGGAAATAGTTATATTTAAAAAAATAAAAAAAAATAAAAAAAAAAAGGAGGTTAAACAAAGTGCACTGAACTTGAGATACTTTTCCTACTTTATTCACTTTTAAGAGGTTACCCAGAATGGTTCTCATTTAAGCATTGTCAGGCTTAAGCAACATAGAAGACCAGCTGTTTTTCTATCTATAAAGCAATTTGCAGCCCACATAGAGTAAGAATTCTACTTCTTGACATAAGGAACAATGACTTTGCTTTGATCTTTGAATAATGGAATTTTCAGAGAATTTTCTGCATGAAGTTATTGTTGGAGTTCTCAGAAAATCTGCCTGCAGGCCATTTTTGGATCAGGCCTGCTTGCCACCACACCGAACTTGACAGATCCAAGAAGCTCTTGGATGTGAGTCACTCTTCACATTTTGTAATAGCATTATTTCCTTGTATTCGGGAGGCAGCCTTCCTTCCCAGCCCCCTGGTTTGGAAGTGATTATGCTGCCTGCCCCACTGATGCTTTGATAGCTAGTTTTCATTCTGCAAACGCATTTAGACTGGGAAGCAGTGGAGGAAAAAGCTTGAATACTATGGAGCAGGAAGCTGCATGGTGAATGGTGGATGAGTACACACATCGTCATTCATCTCCTTTTCCAGAGATGGGCAAACTCATAGCAGGTTTGATTACTACCAGACATATGAAGACAACTCTAGCAAAGAAAAAGATATGCTATCAGAGCAGGGAAAGCCCTGCTGTTTGGGAAGGACAGCAAGTCCAGCACCGAGGCTAGTAGCTCTTCAAAAGCTGCTGAGGACAGTGCAGAAGTCAAAGACATGCAGGCTCATCCACCTATTTCTGCTGGAAGCTTCTCTGAGGTAGGCAGCCTGGAGCACAGGTTGCCTTTCAAACTTTCTCACTATCCTTTAGCCCTTCCAGACATTAAGCAACTGGAGATAACACCTATTCTGTGTCCTCTATCAAAGATAAAGCTGCTGTCTTTGCTAAGCCCCCTTCACAAGTTTCTGCCTGCTCCGTGATTAGCTGGTGGGTCTCACCTGTTATGGATTTAGGTTGATGAGAATGGTTTCTCTTTCATGCAGGTGCCAAGTCACCTGAGCAGGCTTTTGCCACAGAACTTGTTTGCAGCTGGCTAGACTTTGATATGACAAAAGCTCTCTGACATGCCGGAAAAAAAAATCAGTGTGTTACATTCTCTCTGGAAAGGGTAAACACAAACTTGTGGCATGTCATTCTAACGGTAGCTATGACAAAGGTATGTTGTATGCAAGTGAAAACATTAAAGCCAAAAATCAATAACCTTCACATACCTAAGGAGAGTTAAGCAGTGTATGGTATGTAGAGTGCAACTTTCACTATTCGAACCTAAAACCATTCAGACGCAAAACTCTACTAGCAAGTACACCTTGAAGGGCACAAATACAGTAAATATTACCAGAATTCTGTGAAATATTAGGGAATCTGGGGGCAAAACAGCACAGAAAATGCCCATATGCTGCACAAGTGTTCAATGTACTTGTAGTGGAACAGATGTACTTCTGTTCCACTAATCTTGTCACAGAATATAGACTAAGCTCTTCAGATGTTTTTTTTCCATAAAATAGATAACTCCTTAGCTCGCCTTTGATAAACATGTTTATTTTTAAGATTTAATGATATACAAAATGTTATGCATTATAGCACAGTATAGAAAAAGCAGTTTTCCACCAAAATCACCTGCTGCTTTCCCATTTTGGCCACAATGAGAAAGAGAGGAAATCCTCTTCTAAGATTTCAGCATCTACTGCTCACTTTCAGAGCAGACCTCTCAGCAACAATAAGGTTTGCTCTTAACTGATCATTTCCCTCTCCCCTTCCCATCACACATCCGCATACATTCCATTGATCAAGTAATCCAGCCTCGTGTAACGTCTCTTATGAAGCGATTCATGGACCTTCTTCCCTGTCAGTGCAATAACTAATAACAGGAATATCAGCCCCAAAAATAAAGCCGCTACAAGACCACTTTTTTCTCCCAGGCGAATGACATTCTCCCGCCTCAGAAGGCCCTCCAGGAAGTAGCTTCGTGAATCAGACGGCTCAAAACCCTGAGGCGTGTTTTGGAAAGCCCCAAGGGACTCATTACTAGGCAGAGTGAGATCTGAAGAGAGGAGGGTGACATGGTTGGTGTCACTGGAGGAGACAGCTGCTGGTGTCCAAGGAGTGTCCGGCCCTCTCCTACTTGGCCTGGCGCTGCTGTTTGTGGTCACCCACTTGGCTGTAGTGGTGGTAGTCCTGGAGCTTGAGAGAGGGACACGAGCAGCAGCAGTGCGGGCAGCTGGGCTGCCAGGTTCGGCGCTAGGCAGAAAGGCCACTGTGGTGGTGGTGGTGGTGGGAGCAGCAGGTTTAGCAGCGGTTGGCAGAGACCTCGTGCTGGATGGCAGCCTGGGGACACCTGTAGGCAGAGGAGCCGCGGTGGCATCGCCGGCTTCAGGGACACTGGGCTGAGTCATGGGGACTGAAGCTGAGGGATTCCCATTTCCAGCAGCGAAGGATGCTTTTGGAGGCAGCAAGTTATTGACTTTCAGCCTCGGGATGGAGGCTAAGCTCTCGGGATGTTCTTGATCTTGTATTTTAAGGGAATCTGTATGAAATTCACTCCTGTCTACCTGCTTGGCCACATGGTTTGGGAGTTCAGGTGTTGGGTGAAAGTCAGATTGTTGCAAAGCAGTGGTATGATTCAGATGGCTCGTTGGACTGCGAGAAGTAAAGTCTCCAGCACGAAAAGACAAAGAGTACCCGCTTTTGAAAGATGTATCCTCCGGAGCTTGAATGTCTAGAAACAGAAAGAAAATACTGGTATTTAATTATTCAATCTATTTTTGACTACAACAGCCTTTGTGTCATCATTTTTATTTCTTGGTAAAAGGAATATAAAGGGCATCCAAAAAATAATGTTGTTGAATCCAAGGTACTAAGATTGTCCTTACTTTTAAAATATGCACACTGACTTTAAATTGTGTTCGTGACATAAGACCTCTCAACTTCAGACCTGGGCACACAGACTGACTGCAGTTTTGTACATATTTCACCCACGCAGAACCACCATCCAAATTTGGTCAAATTTTATGCAGTATGAATATACTGCCTACATGTAAGTGTGTATTCAGAGGTGAAAAGCAGAATGAGTGGGCCTATTGCCTTTAATCAGTTCTCAGGTTCTTTAAATAAAGAAGTAGATAAAACATGACTTTTATTCATTTGACTTACATATTTCCACCAAGATAATTATATACTCCCCTTTCTTGTAATATCAATCTGTGATTATTGGATATAATTTAATTCATATGCAAGAATTGTCTTAGGATCAAGGGTAGTATAATATCTCCATTTTATAAACTGAGAACTGAGTGGAGAGAGTCTAAGGGACTTGCCAAAAGTCATGTGGGACACCTGTAGTAGTCTGAGTGCTTTGATGAGAAGTCTCTTAAGCTTCAGGACCACCTGGAATAAGTATGTAAAAGTGCTCTACTCCAGTTCCACGCTCATGACTAGCACTGTGATATTATACTACATGAGACATCCCTGAAACATCTGTTTACAGACATAGTAGGAACAGTTGCTAATTTCTGTGAGATTACTCCTCCTCAACAGTAACAATATAGATTGTATTCCTCCAATTTATACATGTATAATTGCATGGCAGTGAACCAGGCCTGTACAACTTACAAAATACATTTCTGATCAAATACTTGGCCAAAGAAGGATCTAAGATCACTGGCTGACTGTTTACCATTCAGCAAAGTGTCTTCCCTACAGGATACCATTGCCTCTGAAATAATTCAAGGATTTAATGTCATGCATGGTGAATGCAAACAAATATTGCTCAAGTTCCCAAATGCCAGGTAAAGCGTGGCAATGAATTCCATTTTTCCAGGGTCATGGCAAAATATGCTTTTCAAATATAAATCCTGCCATAGCCCAGAAGTCCTTGGAAGGACTGCTGGCACAGATCCTGTGTCCTTACTATTATTGTCCAGCTGCCACAGAGAGCATTGAAAAAGAGACATGCTGTTGAGCAGTTCTGACTCTCACTCCTCTCTTTTATAGAAGAGAACTCTCAGGGGTGAGGATTTTTTCAGTCACTTCATTTTCAGCTAGGAACTCTTTCTTATCTGGAGGGATTTTTTGAGTTTTACTATATAGAGAGAGAAGCCCATTGGGCTGCTGTTCTCATATACCTTCAAGCCTTCTGTCTCCACCAGAAAAAAAAAAAAAAAAAAAAAAAAAAAAAGGCAGCACTTTAAACAAAGGCCCAGCGACTTAACTTGAACCACAGACACCACTTGTTATCATAAACTTGTGGCCAAGCACCGCCTTGCTGGCAATGGGAGGCTGTAAATGGGCGTCACCACAAGGGCTGACTTCTTGAAAGCCATACTCTGATTCTAGGAGGTGATTGAGGAGATAACAAAATGCTCAGGCGTTACCTAATCATAAACCATATGGGCAAAGGCAGCCAAACTGTGGGCTGCACCTGCAGTGCTGAGCACGTTTCTGCACCAGCAATGAAGTGACTGGTCAGTGCCACCGAGCCAGCCCCCAGCTTGTTGCTCATTCCCTGTTCCCAGGGTTCTCCCAAGGACGCTCTGACCTGGCTGCAGCTGCACATTTCAATGTGGGCAAGTCCTTTCCCTGGGACTCTGTATCCCTTTCTGTAAGACAGGCATACCAACACTTGGCAGCTACAAGTCCCATACAGGAGTTGAGCATTGCTGCTGCTCTGCAGCGTTCAGATTATTGCGACTGCCCGCATTAACTAACTCGACCTTGTGTTCTCAGCACGAACCATGGACCGCAAGGTATTTGTTGTTTCCCTGTTAGACTACAAGCTCCCGAATGTGCTAGCTCTGAAATGGCATGTGCAAGGCAGAACCATGCTACTAGAACAGCTCTACTTGTTGGTGAGGAAGATCGAGGCACTACACAAACCACCCTTTAATGACATAAAAAACACAATGGTCCTGCTGATACTCTCAAGCTGTTGATCCAGTAAGCTGTATTAGAAATGAAGTCTCAGATTTTCCTTCTGAAAATAATCACCTTATGAACCTACTTTGACGGAATTTGCTAGTCTTGCCTAGCTAACTTGGTAGGGTGGAAAACCCGAGCTCCACAAAAGTGCATGGACAGCAGAAACCAGAAATGCTCTTCCTTTTCCAGCAGGAGTTCTTTGCTACAGGAACCAGGAAATGCTTTGTTTCACTAGTCATAGGTAGTTTCCATTAGTTAACAGGCTGCAAGAACAGCTAAAAACAAAATGTCACTGCTAAGTATCTTCAGTATTTTGAGTTGCTTTCTTTATGACCAATAGTTGTAGTCCTCACTTTTAGTTTGGGTTTCAGTCTAACCACATGCATATTTTCCTTTGGAAAAAAACAAAGCTTGAAAGGGTTGTCAGCACTGACACCATGTGGTAGCTACCTTTTAAAGCTTATTATAGGAATATAATGTAAATAAGATGGCATAATCTTTTCATGATTCAGTGCTCACAGAAGCCAAAAAGCGCAGAATGCAAAACAGATGGCACAGGCAATCGAGTCTTTTAACTAAGCCATGACAGCATTTGCAGGACAAAAGCATGATTACATTTCTTGCTTTTTAGTTTGCAACCCCTGTATACATCTGGGGGATGAGAGAAGAGAGTGTAATGATAATCTTATAGGTGTGCAATCCGCTTGTTGTACACTGCGCTTGCCCAATTCCTATGTGACTGTGTCTGCACAAAATTATTTCCTAACACTGTGTGAATAATCCTTCTACATATCCCTACTGTTGCTCTGTGCACAATTCCTCTAGGAAAAGTGCACTTTTTTTTTGTAGTAGAAGTTCAACCTCTGGAAATACAAAATTCCTGCTCTCTCAAGCAGTCACACTAAAACTACCTTATGCACTCTTGGCAGGACAGTCTAATTCTCGGTTTCTTGACTGAGGAGTTCAAATGGGTCTATTTCAAGTCGAGATCAGTCAACAAGTAAGACTTTCTATTCAAATTGCTGGAGCAATTGCTGAAATTTTGGTGTGTGCAGCCCAGTGCCATAAAATTTTGAGTTTAGTCGCTTTGCATCTGTGCTTCAGGTTCCCTAACTGGAAATAGAAAGCAATTATTAATATACCCAATTACTCACTAACATCACAGCAACACTCTGTGGCTTGCTGAACATTTGCTCGGTGTTTCTCCTTGTAGGTGCGTGGTCTTCATAAGTGTAGTGTGAACCCTTTAAATATGCAGACAGCTACAAGGTCATCATGTTGCTACCTGTTTCAGCAATACTCGTCAGCATTATGTACAGGAAATTTTCCTCCAATAGAACATATCAAAATAAAAGCTCCTTTTTGTTTTACGCAGGTAGAAACTATGTGAAATTGTGAATCTAATACATGGGAACTTCCCAATGGTAAGAATGTTGTTATTCCAGCTGGCAGCTAAGCCCATGCAAAACTCTCACACTCCTGTCCATCGCTCATCGGGCAAAAGAAAAGCATTTTCCAGTTTTTAGAGTGCTTCTTTTAAAGGTTTTTGCTTTTGCAACCTCCAAATACCTGCTTGCTACTGAAGTCATGAGTGCAAAAGCCATCTGGCATGGGGACCCACAGCTTTTGTATGATTTACCTCTACTTATCTTGTAGCTCACAAGTCCCATTGCTGGTTTTGTTGGACAGGCTGCTGCACTAGGGCAATAAAAAAGATAGCAGTTTGGATGTGTGCTTGTCCTTCGAGCATCGAAAATCATCAAGTTGCACTTTTTGTCTCCTGAAAAAAAAAATGATATGTACATGTTTCAGCAGCAATTACTTTTATAGCATTTTGAAAATAGGATGTACTCTATCAACTTAAAATTTTCCTGGTGTAAGAGGAAAGCAGCTCGTACATCACCCTGCTCCAGGAAAGGCAGCACAGGGATGTCAAAAGAATGGCCCAAAGGCAGGATACAAAGGGTCACCCCTTCCTCTTCCTGTACAAACAGACTCAGGGAAAGAAGGAGCCGATTTCAAGCCCTTACCCACCCCTCATGTGAGGGCTGTCTGCAGATCCTACCCCACCAGCACCACTTCTTGTAACATTTTGTTGCTTACAAATCCAGATAGATAGGAAAACCTCCTCATTATTACTTCTGGGGAGGAGGACTATTTGTTCATTTCACATCCCTGGAGTTCCTTGGCTTGGTAACAGTTGTTTCTATTTGCTGCTGGACCTCACCCTGCTTCCTCTAGGGGCTCAGGGGTGAAACCCAGCGGGCACAGGGAAGGGTAAGCGCCCCAGTGCTGGCTGGTATTAAACGCAGCACCCCGTGCCAGTTACTCGGCGGTGCTTCTGGCTGCGGGTTTGCCCACCCTGGGGGACGGCCATCTGAGGGGTCTTAGCCCTCAGAACTGCCCCTCTGCTTCTTCACACCGCAGGGCTCCAGCACGAAGGTCTTGCATCGCTGGCTGGCACTCTAAGCAATTAACATCCCTGGTAGGGGGCACATTAATGTTCCAGTGCGGGGTACGCAGCAGTGCCTTGTCCCTTCTCAGGGGGAAGCCACGCAAGCCCGGGCCGGTTCCAAGCGCTCCGCAAGCAGCGGCAGAGCACAGCAGAGCGCACGGCGTTACCTGGCAGTGCCTTCCCCAAGCAGCAAGCGCGTCCGCAAGCGCCAGGGCTCGAGGCGTAGAGCGGCTCCGCAGCCCTGACGCCTCGGGAGAGCGCCAGGTTCACGTCGATGATGGTGTCGTCCATCCTCTCCACTGAGCAGTCCTGGCTCCGCGACGGTGCCGCCAGCAGGCAGGCGATGACGGGCAGGCAGCTGGGCCACCAGCCGCCCCCGAGAGCCATGGTGGCCGCGGCGGCCGCTCACGGTGTCCGGCTGGGCCACGCGCAGGCAGCGAGGCTGCCCGCGGCGCAGGGGCCCCGCGCTCCTCGGCCAAAAAGAGGCGTTTGGGGCGAGCGTCCCGGAACCTTCTGCATAGGAAGCACCAGCTGAGCTGGTTTTTCAATTTCTTTTTTCTTCCCCGAAGAAGTTATGGAGCGGGGGCTGCGCGGAGAGGCCCTTTGGGGGCGTTTTGTCTCGTTGAATCCCTCCCCGAGCCGTGCAGGACAAAAACGGCGGCGGGTGCAACGCCGAGGAGCGCCGAGCAGCGCCCGCCGCTTCCCCCCGGCACCACGTCCGGGAGGCGGCCCCGGCTCCGGGCCCGGCCCTGGCCGCGGTTCCTGCCCCGATCCCGCGAGCGGGGGGCGGCCCCGCCGGGAGGGCGTTTGCAGCTGATCCCTGCGGGGGTCTGCAGGGCGGGAGAACAGGGAAAAGGAAGAAAAGGAAGAAAAGGAAGAAAAGGAAGAAAAGGAAGAAAAGGAAGAAGAAGAAGAAGAAGAAGAAGAAGAAGAAGAAGAAGAAGAAGAAGAAGAAGCCTATGCTAAAACTATTAAAATCTATTTATTTCTGATTTCTTCCTTCCTTTATTTTTTACTGAATCTTGTGTACCTTCTGCAGGCTGCGGCCGCTTACTGAGGGTGCGGCGAGAGCAGTTGGTGTGCGTGTCCTGGGCGGTGGGTGCACAGGCGCGCATGCGGAGGAACCGACTCTGCTGCCTGCGCTCAAACCATCGCAGCAAAGCGGAGCGCGCCGTGGTTGCTGAGCAGGGGGTTCATGGATGTGCCTGTCTCCTGGGAGCCTGGGCTGCGATTAGTGACAGGTTTTTCTGCACTGCCTTAGTGCAACTGCTGCTTCAGTAATGCTTTCTACCTGGAAATATTCCATTCCTTTATTTATTTTTTATTTATTTATTTTTAGGGCAGTGTTTAGGTGTAGAAGCGGCCCGGGGAGCAAAGGTGTGTGAGGAATGAAGGACTGATAAGTATGTTCCTTCCTTGAGGCTTGAACAAGTCACTCTGTGTTACACACAGCCATGTTCTGATCACCTTGATAGTGTCAAGGTCATGGGCCTCGTCCAGCAAGTTTAATATTGCACCTTGCAGAGCACCAGCCACCTGTAGCATTCGCCTGTAAGCGACGGGAATTTTCCTTTTAGGGGTGCTTCATTAAAAGACAAAATACCAGGTTGTTTTACATATTGTTGCTTTAAAATGGTTAGAACAGGGTAATGAAAACAGGGAGGATGCTCCTGTCTCTCGAAGAGACCCGCTGCGTAAGTGAAGGGGGGGCCTCTGGGCAGGGGTTTCCTGGATGTCATGTAAGGTTTCTTGCTCCTTGGAGGCATCTCAGAGATCCCCTGAAGAAATGGGTACAGTCCTCGTGTGTCTCCTTTGCTGCGGCAGCCAGGAGCTGCTCTATATGGATGCACGTGCTGCAAGAGCTACGCAGAAGCCACCCTCTCACTGCACATTGTGTGGGCAATTCTGACCAGGTCCTAAGACTTTCCTGGAATTCTTGAAATTCTTGCTGCTTTTCTGAAGCTTTCAGCTGCTGGTAATGTAGGAGCACATGAAGGTCTCACTTTGCGTGCTTGTGTGCGTGTTTGTGTGAAAACGTTGACTTTTGTTTCTTAGAGCTGTGGAGGGATGATTTTGGTAGCCATTGCTGGTGCACTTGGTAAACTGGTGGAATTATTTTTTCTGTAGAAAATAATTTTTAAAATGTAAAACAATGTGAATACTTAAAAATGTCACAGAAATCCATATCACACAGTGCAATAACAAATATTTCAGCAAGTGCAAGTATAGCCTGGGCTGTGAAATGAAGAGAACCCTTGTCACCTCCCAAGATGGAAAAAGCTCACAAAAAGACCCTTCTATAGCTTGAATCTTAGTAATATTGTGTTAGACTTACATGTCCTCATTTAGACATATATACAACTGTATATTCTGCAGTTTCAAGCACAGAAACTTAGGCACAAGGAGGACAGCACGGAAGACTTGTTTAATGGCCACATTAAAGGCAAAATAAATAATTCATTTATGCCACTGACACAATACACCTTTTTTAGTAACCTTTTCAACCATAAAACTGCATGTGACAGAGACACATGTTGACTGAGAGGTAAATTGAAATCTTTTACAAGGGTGGTGACATAGATAAAGTCCCATTTTCAACAATAATAAAAGCAAGCATCTCAGAGAGGAGCAAGGTATGTGCTGCAGAGGTTTATCTAGGGGTGGAAATGAAGTTAACCAAAGTTAATTGTGCTGACCCAAAGAAGCTTTTTTTTTTTTTTTTTTTTTTTTAATCAAAGGCTGATGGACGATGTCAAACGACACGATGAGAAGCTCTGCGCAGGTTCTCGTCCCACACACATCACGTATCTTTGTTCATGTATGCCACAAGTCTCAGTGTGTGAGATAAATCATATGCGTGAATATCTGTAGATGCAGCGATCAAGACTATAAACTGAATGGGGCAAAAAATATATCTGTTTCCAGAATAATAACCATATTGCTTTGAAACTATCGAAGATTGTTCTTTTGGCAGGAACGAAGCTCAAAGCCAGTATTTTAAGGCCCGGAGCAATGTTGCGCTGGCAGCTCCTCCCTGCAGCCCTCACCCAGGCGGCGGGCAGCCTGCAGCTCCCGCCAGGCAAAAGCGCCGTTTCCACCTCCAATTAAATCCCAGCAGGGAGCAAAAAAGGCAGGAGAGGGAGATGACGCCACCTCCTGTAGAGCAACGCCGCCCCTTTAAGGGAGGCACCGCCCCTTTAAGGGAGGTGCTTTCCCTTTAGGGGAGCCCCGCCCCATTAAGGAAAGCCCCGCCC